TTTCAGAAGTCATCCTAATATGCTGATTTGAAATTATCAAAAGAAAAACGTATACTCACTGTTTGCTCATGTATATTATTTCAGGGATCTATCGTGAGCTCTGCTTGGAATCTGTTAGAAACAAATACGACTGTGAGATGCAAGCAGCCAGCCAGCATTGGGAGGTAAAATTCACAGAGCCCAGGACAAAATTTGTGGTGGCCCCACATTTCATTCATATTCCCACCGTCTTCTCCTGCTTAAAGACTGCCCTGCTTCTTTAATTTGTTCAATTTCTCACTGAGGTTTAATGTTAATATTCAGTATTCATGATGTGTTTCCACAGAGTGAGAAGCTCCTGCTTTTCGACACGGTTCAGAGTGAACTGGAAGAGAAGATCAGACGACTGGAGGAGGACAGACACAGTGTAGATATAACTTCAGGTAAAATACAGATGGTAAACTGACTGTAAATTTAAATCTTGTATTCACTTATAATGAATTGATGTGCTTTTGCACCAGAACTGTGGAGTGATGGTCTGCAGTCTAGGAAGAATAAAAAGAAGGATCCTCTCAGTCCTGGAAAGAAGAAGAAGAAACCTGTCGTTGTGTCAGATATCCTTTATATAGTAGCTAGTGCTGCACGTCTGAAGTCATTTGCGAGTGTTTTTCTATGTGTTTGCGGCAGCTGCCTTATTGCTATAACATTGGTTTCCTGAGCCGTCCCACGACCATACATTGTTTACATGTTGCAAGACCTGGATATACTTGAAGACTGGACTGCCATAAGAAAGGTTATTTTACTTCAACTGTTTATTTATTTAGATTTCTTATATCATTCTTAGCTCAGTTTTTACATGTTAAAAATCTTAATAATAATGACAAATGTCTGCAAATTAGACATTATTGTTATAAGCAAAAAATTGTCCGAAGTCATGCTGGAGATCATTGCTATAAAGACAAACCCTGGTGTATCCTGAAAAAACTTTTTTGTTCTGTTTTTGCAGGTGTCCATTTATATTTATGTTTACATTTTTATTTATTTAAATATTTGAAAGTGAGCTATTCGTTTTCCATTAATAAACTACTTGGTTTTCCGTAGGCAATGGCTTCAATGGGTCCTCATAGAGAAGGTAAGTAGGCCTGTCGCAATAATCAATATATTGACTTATCGCACAACATATGTACATGGCCTCAATCATTGACGCAATATATCGCCTGTTATATTTACATAAAAATGAATGCCACCATGTTTTTTGCATTCCACTTGCACCTATATCTTTTGCAGCTTCTCGTACATAACGTGGTGTAGTCATGAGGTGCTAGTTCAAATTTAAAAAGTGCTTCTACAAAAAAAAAAGTTTCATCTGCAGATATGATATGGCTTTGTTTAGGGATCTGTGCCTTTGTGCATACGGACATCTGACTGCTGAGTAGTGATTGTGTTTTTCAGAAATAGTGTGCACCCTTAATTTACAGAGAAAAGACGGCCAGGGAAAAATCTCCATACAAGTTCTTTGTGCATTTTTCTTTTTTTTCTACTTGTCACTTTGCACTTTTTGTGAAAAAAATGTTTTTCAAGGTATCTAATATTTCGATACTTAATTTCCGTGTTCTAAATATTCTTAAGATTTGAATGTTTGTTGTCATTTGAAAGTGTGTAACAAAAAGTTGTTATTGTGACGGGCCTAATGGTAAGAAGGATTTTGAGCATTGTTTTTTATATTTTTGTGTGTAAAATCTCGGTATCAGCCTGTATAGACCGTAAAGACAGTCTTGAGTGAGTTGTGGAAATGCTTTGCTGCTCTCTAAACTGTATGTGTGTGTCAGCTCCTTTGAAACCAGAACGACACCATCATGTTGCCCGATCAGAAGATGGACGCTTGTTCTATGACAACAAATGGTACAGCCGGGGTCAGGCCATATGCATCAACAGGAAGGACGAATACCCCACCAGGTGTGTGTGTGTGTGTGTTTACACAAATAATTACAAAGTAATTCTAATGAACTGTACATGGTATTTCATTTTTTTTCTGAGCTGCTTGTTGTTGACATCGTTCTTGATATTAATATAGTAGTGTGTAACAAACACTGGAAAGCATTACGTGGAAAGCATTTTTTTAAATAATCACTTTGTAGTCTAGTTACCATGATTTCAAATGGTTTAAAGAACAGTTCAGTTCATCCAAAAAAGGTTATATTTGGTTATGATGGAAATGAGAAGTGACGGAGAGCACGATGGCAG